CCAACATGGCTCACTCACATGACTGTTGGCAGGAGGCCTCAGTTTCTCACCATTTGGACTTTTTTTTTTTTTAAGATATTATTTATTTGAGAGAGAGAATGAGAGAGAGAGAGAGAGCACATGAGGGGGGGGAGGGTCAGAGGGAGAAGCAGACTCCCTGCAGAGCAGGGAGCCCAGTGCAGGACTCCATCCAGGGACTCCAGGATCATGACCCAAGCCGAAGGCAGTCACTCAACCAACTGAGCCACCCAGGCGCCCCATTTGGACTTTTCAATAGGGCTGTTTTATGGAATGAATTGTGTCTCCCTGAAATTCATATGTTGAGACCCTAACCTCAAATGTAACTATACTTGGAAATAGGATGCTTAAGGAGGTAATTAAGGGGGGGGCGCCTGGGTGGCTCAGTTGGTTAAACGACTGCCTTCAGCTGGGGTCACGATCCCAGGGTTCTGGAATCAAGCCCCACAGTGGGCTTCTTGCTCAGTGGGGAGCCTGCTTCTCCCTCTCCCTCTGCTGCTCCCCCACTTGTGCTCTCTCACTCTCTCTGTCAAATAAATAAATAAAATCTTAAACAAAATAAAATCTTAAAAAAAAAGAGGTAATTAAGGTTAAATGAAGTCATAAAGGTAGGTTCCCAATCCAAAAGGTCTGGTGTCCTTATAAGATGAGTAAGGGACACCAGAGCATTCTCTCCTCCTCCCCAACTCCCCAATCTTTCTCTGTGCACAGAGGAAAAGTTCATGTGAGAGTACAGCAAGAGGGTGGCCACCTGCAAGCCAGGTTTCTCACTAGAAACTAACCCTTCCTGGTACCTTGATCTGGGACCTGCAGTCTCCAGAACTATGAGAAAATAAAATTCTATTTAAGCCACCCAGTCTTATATTCTGTTGTGTCAGCACAAGCAGACTTAGTCTGCTTGAGCATCTTTACAACGTGGCAACTGGCTTTCCCCAGAGCAAGGGATGAAAGAGACTGACAAAAAAAAAAAAAAAAAAAAAAACCCAGCAGCAATGCCTTTTATGAATTAGTCTCAGAAATCATGTGGTATCACTTCCATCATGTTTTCAGTTTATTAGAATTGAGACACTGGGTCCAACCTACTCAATGGGAGGGGTATGAAACTTAACCTCTCCAAAGAGGAGAGTGAATTTGTGGATTATTTTAAAACTATCACAATAGGTTAAAAAGATCACATACAGTTGAGTACTTGAGGGCATTCCACAATCATTGATATAGAGGGATAGAAAATCACCATCTTAATAGATTGAGTTGTTGGAGGGCAAAGTTCTGGGCTACTAGAGTGGTGAGAGAATTGTGGGGAAGTCTCAGAAAGGAAAGTAATATAGAAAGGATCCTTAAATTCTATGTATAAAATCCACCCAGCTCTTTGTCAGCTAAACTCCATATGTATGTAGGAGACTTTAAGGAGCTTATAAAAAGTAGCCACTGGAAGGTGAAAGAACTGAACAGATCTGAGTTTCCAGCTGCTGATTATTTCAGTTGAAATAGTTTGGTATTTGAGCCCAGCCAAGTTAACTGCCTGAAAGTATAAAAATCAACACACTTACGAGGAACAACACAACAGAATCATGAATCTCTATCATCCTCAATGTCTAGTATACAATAACATTAGACAAGCAAAAGGAAGAGAACATGAAAATACAATCTATATTCAAAAGCAAAGCAATCAATAGAAACTGATTCTGAGATTGTCCAGATATTGAGGTTAACAAAGAATTTAAAACAACTATTGTAAATATCATTAAGGAATTAAAGAAAAATGAATTAACAGATGGAGAACCTTAGCAGAGAAATAGGGCAATAAAATACTCAAGTGGAAATTCTAGAACTGAGAAGATTAACAAGTGAAATAAAAAAATTCACTGAATAGGCTTAACAACAAACCAGAGTCAGTAGAAGAGTCGGGGAACTTGAAGACGCATCAGTAGAAAGTGCCCATTTGAAAAACAGAGAAAAAAACATTAAAGAAAAGTGAATAGAGATTTAATGAACAGAGGAGACATTATTAAATGGGTTAACATACATGTAACTGGAATCCTAGAAGGTGAAGAAAGAAGGCAGAAAAAATTGAAAGAAATAATGGACAAAATTGTTCACATTTTAAGAGAAGACAGAGGATTACTACTAGAAATAGGAAGATTTTATAATGATAGAAGGAGAAATTCATCTGGAAGATATTACAAATATAGCTGTGTATTTGCATAATTAGACTTTTAATACATAAAGCAAAATCTGACCAAATTCAAGGGATAAATAGACAAATCCACAGTCATAATTTGAGATTTTAACACCTCTCCTCTTAGTAATTGATAGAACAACAAATATAAAAATTGCTAACAAAATAGAAGACTTGAACAAACCTGTCAACCATCCTTTGATTTTTAGAGAAAGCCCATCAGTGGCAGAATGCACACTTTTTTCAAGCATTCACAAAGATACATCATATACTGGGTTATAAAACAAGTCAATACATTTCAAAAAATCAAGATCTTAACAAAGTATGTTCTCTAACCAAAGAGAATTAAATTATAAATTATTAATAAGATATCTAGAAAAGTTCAAATTATTTAAAAATTAAGCAGCATCCTTCCAAATAATTAAATGTCTGTAAAAAATTACAAAAGAGTTAGAAATATTTTTAATTGGGTAATAATAAAGGTACAGCAAACCAAAATTTGTAGGGTGGAGCTAAAGAATTTGTAAAGGGGAAATATATTGCCAAATATATATATATATACACAATATATTTATATATATATATACAATATATACAAATATATATATTTTTTCAATATATATACCAAAATATATATATTGGAAATGTATAAAGGGGAAATATAAGTGGTTATATTAGAAAAGAAAGGTTCATAGTCAATGATCTAAGCTTCCACCTTAAAGTAGGAAAAAAAAAAGAGCAAAATACAATAGAGAGGACCTTGTATAAAATGTATCACCTGTCAAGAGTTCCCCTTTTACATTGCTGGGTATTGGGGTTTTGTGCCTTCTCACTTTTTGTTTTTTGATCAGTCTTGGTAAGTGTTTATAAGTGTTTATCAATTTCATTAATCTTTAAGAATCAATTTTTCTCATTGTTAATCTTATTATATATTCACTTTTCATTGCATCATTTTCTACTTTCAGTCTTTCTATCTTTGTTTTGATTTTGATCTTGATTTTCTGAAACTTTCCAACTTCCTTGGTTGGATTCTTAATAGTTAAATCTTTTTTTATTTTATATAAATATCAAATTAAGGGTATAAAATTTCTTTTATGAATTGCTTTAGTTGAAGTGTACATATTTTTGATATGTGGCTTTATTGTTATCATTCAATTCCTAATGCTTTTTAATTCCCATTGTGATTTTTTTCTCTGACCCATGAATTATTTAGAAAGTGTTTTCTTAAATTCCAAATATACAATGATCTACTAGTTATCATTTTCTTAATGATTTCTGTCTCTGGTCACCGTGCTCAAATCTGTGAGCCTTTATTTGATTTCTCAGCTTCTTGGCCTCTTGCAGAACTGGTAGTGGATCCAAGGGGAATTGCCCCAAACATAGAACTCTTATCTAGTTCTCTTTCTCATCTAAAATGTTCTCCTGATAATTCTCTTCACTGCCTTGTTGATTCTCCAATGCTTTCAAATTTTATTAGATGTTCTCAGAAAAAGGCTTGATTCAAATTATCTAGTCTACCATTACCAAGTGCAGAACTCCTACTGATGCTGATTTTTTATTGTTGTGAGACATATAGAAAGAATGGGATTGGAAGATCTCATGGATAGAGAAACCAGTAAAAGACAAAGAGTGTATAGAAAAACAAAACTTTGGCCAAAGAATAGAATGAAGAGGAGAAGGTGATACTTGTATTTGTAATTTATTGTTGCATGACAAAGCACCACAAATTTGGTGGCTGGGGTCAGCCAAAGCTGGGGTTTCATTTGAAGGTACAACAGAGGAAGGATCCACTTCTAAGTTCACTTACATGGTATTTGGCAGAATTCAGTTCTTTTGGGGCTATTTGACTAAGGACCTCAATTTCTAGCTGATTGTGGGTTATGCACAGTCACATAGGGCACCTCACAACATGGCAGCTTGCTTTATCAAAGCCAGTCAGTGAGAAGAGTATTGGCAAGATGGAGTTATAATATTATGGAGTATAATCACAGAAATGGCATTTCTTCATCTTTGCCATGTTCTTTTGGTTAGAAGCATGTCACAGTTCCCACCCATAATCAAGGAGAGGGGGCTGTGGAGGGATGTGAATACCAGAATGTGGAGATCATTCAAGGTTATCAAATACTTTCCTACAGTATTCCTTTATGTATGTAAAGTTCTCTCTTCTTCTGGAAATATTAGAGAAAATGGACAGCAGACTAGAAAGAAAAGAGTTAATATATTACAACTTCTGGAAAAGAAGCAAATAAAATATCAAAGTCTAATTTACAAGGAAAACAAGGTTAACTTTCATAGAAAGAAACTATGATTAGACAGAATTTAAACTATGGAAAAATTCCTAGCCTCTTTTAACATTTAGCTTGGGAGTAAGAGCCCCTTAAAGCTATATAGTTGAAAAGAGAAACGTGTTCACCTGGAAGTCTTAAATGCCTATGTAGAAAAACAAAACTGTCTTTGTGCATGATATGAATTGGTTTTGCCTTCTGTAGTCATCAGAGAATTTTCCATGATTTATGAGTTTACTTCATTAATATTTGATATATGTGTTCCAAATTGATTTTTTATTAAACATTTCAGGGTAACTTTGAGGGTAGAGGATGTATCCTATTTATTGAAGTATGTGGTATCGCTAGTGCTGGGAAATGAGGAAAAAGTAGGCCACTTTGTTCTAGTCTTTGAAACTAATTATCTAGTTATCATAGAGCTCATGAACAATTGTGTAATTAAAAATGCTATATATCAATTTCACATACACATATTAAAATGCACAATTATGTTAATAGATTTTCTATTTTTTTAATAGGATCCAAATGAAGATACAGAATGGAATGAAATTTTAAGAGATTTTGGCATTCTTCCTCCAAAAGAAGAGCCAAAAGATGAAATTGAAGAAATGGTTTTACGTTTACAGAAAGAAGCAATGGGTACAGTTATGCATTTGGTGGGCTGGATGAAGGAGATAATGATAGTGAAAATGTATTTCATAAACTTAGAGGGAGAAAGGACATTAGAAATCTCACCCATACTTTTGAAGTTAGAATACTGACACGTAAAAATTTTAACTGATGTGTTGAATGTCACAAGCTAGTTAGTAACAGAGCTGAAATGTCCTGGTATCTAACCTAGTGAGACTTTTCTCTGCCATATTCCTCTAGCTCGTGATTACCTCCTATTTTGATCATGTAAATAGTATGTTTCATTTGTCAAGATTTTCAAGTACTTGGAAAATCTAAATTTATGGGGTCTAATTGATGTTCACATCTACTTTAAATGTAGCTTGGTAGCTCTGCGAACTTGGAGGGAAATTCACACTTTAAACAAACCTGAAGTAGTCAGCCACAGAATAGATTTATATATTGGAGAACCTGCAACATTAAAGATATTCTTTATCTCCATTTATCTATACATTGTTTTTTCTAGCCATGTGACTATAAAGTAAAAAATGGTTTTTAAATTCAATTATCTAAAATTTATTTTGTTTTAGTTAAACCATATGAAAAGATGACTCTTGCACAGTTGAAGGAAGCTGAAGATGAATTTGATGAAGAAGATATGAGAGCTATTGAAATATATAGGTACAGTGATTTATTTGGGCAACTTATGAGTTTTTGAATGGAGAAGTATAAGAATGAAACAAAAAAAGCCCTATTTTTTCCTACAGAATAGATTTTAAGAGAACAAAACTAGTTTTTAAGAACATTTTAGTTTTTTTAAAATATTTTATTCATTTATTTGAGAGAGAGAGAGAGAGAAAACACGAGCAGGGGCGGTCAGAGGAAGAGGGAGAAACAGACTCCCCAGTGTGCAGGGAGCCTGATGGTCCTTGATTCAAGGACCCCGGGATTATGACCCGAGCCAAAGGCAGATGCTTAACTGACTGAGCCACGCAGGCACCCCAGGAACATTTTAGGTTCTTTTTTTTTAAAGTAAGCTCTACACCCAACATGAGGCCTGAACTCACAACCCCAAGATCAAAAGTCACATGCTCGGGTGCCTGGGTGTCTCAGTTGGTTAAGCGACTGCCTTAGGCTCAGGTCATGATTCCGGAGTCCTGGGATTGAGTCCCACATCGGGCTCCCGGCTGAGCAGGGAGCCTGCTTCTCCCTCTGACCCTCTCCCCTCTCATGCTGTTTCTCTCTCTCTCCCTCTCTCAAATAAATAAATAAATACAATCTTTAAAAAAAAAACCAAAAACGACAAAAAACAAAAGTCACATGCTCTACCAACTGAAACAGTGAGGTACTTTTAAGAACATTTTAAAAGCAACTCACTTTATATAAGAGTAATTTTTTTCTTGAATATTTTTGCCTTTGCTTAAGTAAAAAACTATCCAATAATATACAGTGGAACTTCATCAAGTTACATATAAGTAAAGTGGAAAATATCCATTAAAAAACCAATAAGAGCCACAGTTTTCCTTCTAAGATAATGTCTATCATATAATTAAATCCAGTCATAAATAAATTTCAGAAATTAGAACAGGTACATATATTTCCCAACTTATCCTGATATTGAAGCCAGATAAATTTTAAAAACAGAATGTCACAGAAAAATATCTCTTATGAACATAGGCACAAAATTTTTAAACAAAATATTAGCAAGTTAGGGCCAGCAATTAAAAAAGAACAATACATCCTGATCAAATGAGATTGGTCCCAAGAATGCTTTGTTTAACATGAAAATGAAAAAAAACCTAATAGTGAATTGGGTTAGAAGCAGCAATAGTCTGGTAGCATGAATATACCTAGATCTTAGCTCTTGTTTTATAAATGCTATTCTTTAATAACAGGAACCAGTGTTCTTTGGAGAACACTGTGTGAGTTGAGTAATTACAATATGAGTCTGGAGCATCTTGTGGTACCAGAAAGTAAAGAAATGCTAAAGAAAAAATGTCTTTTAAAGGTATAGGAGCCAAACTAAAGATCGGAAAATGGCCAGAGTTGGAACAACTTGAACAACAGAATAAATAATCATAATACTGGATGACAAAATAAATATCCAGGAGTCCCTAGTGATATAAATCAATAACTTAATACATGAACAAATTCAGAGAAAGTAACACCTCTTCCTCACTGAAAATTCCAATATATAAGTGTTAGATAGGATGAGGAAAATAGAAAAATCACCATCAAGGGCACCTGGGTGGCTCAGTTGGTTAAGTGTCTGCCTTTGGCTCAGGTCATGATCTCAGGGTCCTGGGATCAAGCCCCTCATTGGGTTCCCTGCTCACTGGGGAGTCTGCTCCTCACTCTCTCTCTCCTTCTGCCTCTCCCCTCCCCCACTCATGCTCTCTCTTTCTCGCTCTCAAA